AAAGTGTTTTTTGAATTAAAAAATATTGTATTGGAAATCTAATTGCTAGGTAGAATAGTTAGGTTCCATGTGTGATCAAAGTAGTGCAGATTCTGCTTGTGTAAGAAACTAAGTACAGATAAATATTTTACCCCTATTGTAACACTTTGGCACTGCAACGACGGAGTTGAGTAGTTGTGACTGAGACCATATGGCTTACAAAACCTAAAATATTTCCTATCTGGCCCTTTATAAAAAAAGTTTGTCAACTCCTGAGAAAGAAAATTATGTTGTTTGTAAATGAGACCAGTTTTATTTCCAATCTCTGTACCTTTTTTTCTTTTTCTTGTCTTAATTTATTGGCCAGGACTTGGATAGGCTGTTCAATAGGAGTGGTGACAGTGGACATTCTTGCTTTGTTCTCCATCTCAGGAGGAAAGCATTCAGTCTTTCACCATAAAGTATTTTTCATAGATACTTTTTATCAGATTGAGGAAGCTCCCTTGTATTCCTAGTTTACTGAAAGTTTTTAATATGAACAAATGCTAAATTTTCTCAAATGTATTTTCTGCATCAATTGATATGGTCATGTGGTCTGTCTTTTTAAAAAATTTTTTAATCGATACATAATAGTTGTGCATATTTTTGGGGTACATGTGATATTTTGATACATGTATGCAATGTGTAATGATCAAATCAGGGTGATTGGGTTATCAGTCACCTCAAACATTTATCTTTTCTTTGTGTTGGAAACATTATAATTCTTTTAGCAGTTTTGAAATATACATTGAAGTATTTTTAACTATGATTTCCCTACTGTGCTATCAAATATTAGAACTTATTCCTCCTCTCTGTGTTTTTGTACCCATTAACCAGCTTCTCTTTATCCCCCTTCCCCTCCATTCTTTCATCTATTAATATGGTGAATTATGCTGATTGAGTTTTCCAAGTTTGAACCAGCTTTGCATTCCCCAGATAAACCCCAATGGTTGTAATATGTTTTACACATATTACATTGGTTGTGATGTGTTTACATATGTGTGTGTATATATATATGATT